TTGGTATGTGCATGTGCATGTGATCCTGGCTGACTGGGGCTGGGAATGAGTTGTGGCAGGAAGATCCTGTTGGGCTTGTCTGTCTCTCTTTCTCATGGAACCAACAGATAAACTTAAATTAATGAGAGTACCCAACTATATTAAAAAATACATATTTATGTATAGTAAAATATAAATTAAATATAAATGTATAAATCTTTATATAATCTATATCAATATTATAGATGGATAGATAGATAGATAGATAGATAGATAGATAGATAGATATAGAGAGAAAGATATCAGCTACTAAAACTCAGTAGGCTTCTCCCAGTCTTTATTGATTGTTTTCTGTCATATATGGACACATTTTGTTTTCTTCAGATTTCCCTATAAAAACTAAAAGTTCTAACTCTAAATGTCTTTGAAATTGGTATATTAACCCAGCTACAATAGAACAAACAGGAGGGCACTGATTTTGGGTGGCTGAGGTCATATGAGATGACTGAGTTCAGTTCCTAGCCCTACCTAAACAGGCTTAGTTTTCATGGCATATGCCGATGGCCCTAAATAACTGGGAAGCTGAGACAAGAGGATTGAAGTATGGTGAGACTGTCAAAAATATCCATCTCTCGGGGCCAGCAGGTGGTGTGGTAGTTAAGGTGCTGGACTCCCACATGGCTGACTCCATTCCAGTCCTGAACCTGGCAACTTGTTTTCTCACTTTTTCTCTCTCTTTCTCTCTCTCTGTGGTGAGTGAACATGCCGTGTAGAAAATTAAGGAATTTTTTTTAAATCCATCTCTCTTTCTGTTTTTTTTTCTTTCTCCCTTTCTTTCCTCATAAAAATAAATAAAATACAAGATTAAAACAATCCTTCAGTTTATTGAAATCAATTGGAAAAAATATGTATAGTCACAGCCATATATATATAAGGAATCATAGGAAATACAAAAGCACTCTCTATGCTGTTCTCTGACTAGTGAGACTGTGGAAATGCCCATTAGAGCGTTAAGCAGACATTCCAGGGTGAATGAAAGGTTGAAAACTCTTATAGTTATGATGTCCATGTGCCAGGATAATAAATAAGTGCTGATAGATTAGCAGATTTTTACAGAGACACATTCTATTATAGTTACAGTGATTTATAGTACATCTTGACCCTAGGAACTATAATCCTATAGTCACATTAAGAATAATAATTATCTGAAGACAAAAAATAAGGCTCTCTTTCTCATTAAGCATATGTTTAATTTAGATAAAAGACACTTAGGTATGTACTTTTTTTTCCCTAAAAGATAGATCTATATGATGATTTAATAAAATGTATCACAGGACTCTGTCCATCTGGTTAACAATTAAAAATGTCTTGGAAAGAGTATTTTACTACACATATATAAGAAGTACTGTTTTTGTGATGAGACAAAAGTTGAAATATTTACCATTCAACTAAAAAGTAAATTTTAAGGCATGATGTATTTTTTAAAAAAAATTAACAGTGTATGTAATATATTTGCTGACACTTGCCTTCTCTATAACAACTGGCATTTCAGACCAAGTTAATCACACCATGTTTCAGTGATATGACCATAAAATTAAACTCTACTCTATCCATCACCCTAACAAATCCCCCCACCAGGAACAAATTCCATATCACCTGCCAGTTCATAACCCTCCTCTTTCTATCTCTGTCCTGCTGACAGTAAATCCCCTCACCAGCTAATTGAACAGATGCACCCAGTGCTGCTTCCTAAAGATCAGCAAAGCTGGGCTTTGACGGACAGCAGAAAGTGGCACAATGAAAAAACAAAAAACCTTTTAGCTGAGAGCACTGCTTTGTTCTGATTAGAACTTTAAGGTCACTCCAGCTCATCTGATTGCTGTGAAGTTCTTAATTTTTACTCAACCAATTTACTTGCAGCTGTCATTCTTTCCAATATTAAAAGTTCAGCCTTTCGAGCTTGGGGGAATAGAAGGAAAGAGAGAGATGATCATGTTGAAAACTAAAAACAGCAAAAACAAGTAAAATCTGGCTTGGCTCTGAAGTACAAAAAGTTATTTTCAGAGCCTATAAATTATGACATAGTGATTAACATGTAATTTAAATATATTTAAACAACAATTATATCACATTTCCAGCCCAGCTAATTGGCCTCACAGATGTTCCCTTGGAGCTGCATTGCCCTTCCAGGGGGAAATGAATGAAGTGCTTTTTATCATGGAAAACAGGAAAAAAAGCAAACTGAAAAAAAAAAAAAATGGAAGCAGAAACATAAGAAGCAGCCAGTAGCCCTAAAAACAATGAATACTAACGGAGGAGTTTTGCTTAGCATTTTTTCTATTATAATGAAAAAGAGAGAAATGCATGAAGACACTCCTATTATTGGGATGCTATTTGGCAGTATGTCTAGATAAAGAGTTGGCAGGTTGCTGAGTGAAAGACTTGTCAAACAGGAACAGAGGATGCAATCTAAGAGGGCATGGCCTCGCTTCTTGTCTTGGAACAAACCAACTGCCAGAAGTCCAGTTATTTTTAATACAGTGCCTTTGCAACTGAAGGCATTCTAGTCCGGTTAATGAACATAGATAATAAACTATTTCCTAATGAAGAAGAACTGTCAGTTATCCCTTTGTTCATTTATCTCCTGAGTTTCATAAAATGCAAAATATGCAATCAATGTTAGTTTTTCAGCTGCTATTCTAGCCAGACATGACCCTGTACAGAAACTCTTGCAAGGTAAGAGGTAAAAGGAAGACTGATAATTACTAGCATTTTGGAATACTTTGCTTTCTAATATACAGTCATAGAATTGAAATATTTTCACTGCGGCCTGATTCCACTCTTACCTTCTCTTATAATAATTTCAGATAATATTTAATAGTACACTGTAAGCCTTTCCTGGTGCATCATGGTATCATCTATCACAGTATGCATGTTTTCATTATAGAGATATGATAAATATTTATTAAATTTTTGCTAAATAAAGAGGGCTTAAAGATGAGGGTAAGTCAAGGATTTGTAATATGATAGAGTTCTACCAGACGGTTGTCATATTTCTTGTATCATCATTATATTTTAGAAATCACTAGACTATCTAGAAAATTCATGTTTCAGATTTTATGGTCACAGGTGTTTGATTTCACGTCTTTCAAAAAAGTAGCAAAATATTCCTATATTTAAGATGACTAGAGAACAGTAAACATTTAAAAATCCTTCTTTGATGAGTAGCTTTGGCATCTTGATCTCTTGTCTTAAAAATTCAAGTTAGTAGATATGAATATTAAAAGTTTATATGTTATCTACATTTATACAATAGCACAGAGTTTACAAATTCATTTCTATACATTATTTGCAGTATCTGCACGAAGAAACAAGAGGCCAAAAGGCCAAGGATGAAAATAAGGTGCTGAGATATTTTGTGATTGACTGGTTTGTAATTCAGACTGGAACCCAGGGCTTCTAATAGTTCATGAAATATTCTGTCATATGATACCACCTCCTAGGCATTGCATATTGAATTTTCATGTCATAATCTCCAATGTGTTGTTATGTGTCAAGGAAAGAAATTTCTCTGTATTCTCTAACCACTAGAAATTAAGAAGAAATTAAAATGTAAAGTTACTATAGGAGAACAGAACTTGCCCATGATTAATCTAATTAGTTAGCAAAAATTGTGTTAGCTGTTAGTTTTTAGGTCATTGGGAAAGTCATGACATATTTTTCTGTTTTTTTTTTTAATGCAAAAATGCTTTATGATTTTCCCAATGACCAAATATTTATTTACATTAAACAGGTCATCTTCATGGGACTATATGAGGGGACTGTCAACAAATGAGGAAAGTGCATATTATGAGAAAACTATGCATGGATTGCAAAATTTTTTGCACCAGAAAAAAATGTATTTTAATGCACTTTTCCTAAACTTTTTGAAGTCACCTTGTATTCTCATTAAATTGTTTTATGAATCTCTAAATTATATGACCAATGACCGGGAATAATTTTAAAATGTGTTTCATGCAAACAATGTGTCTTGGAGGTTTATTTTAGTCATCACTGTTCACTCAAAGCTGGAATGTAGAGAATGCAAACTTGAGGAACAGCAGTTGGCATAATAGTTATGTTGCTGGACTCCCATGTATCGACCATGGTTCAAGTCCTGGACCTGGTGACTTAAACTCATGCCGAGCACATGCACACGTGTGCCCAAGATCCTGAGAGGAGAATGGAGGAGAAGGGATTGTGGCGAGGCCATCCCCCTGAGGGGTGATTTCTCGCTTTCTGTCTTTCTGTCTGTCTCTGTCTTTCTGGTGAGCACACACACCCTATAGTAAAACCTCTCAAAAAAAATGCAAATTTGAAAAAAATCAACTATTTTTGTTTACACTAATATTTAATGAAAAAATCATATACATATGCACATACATATGAAGAGTCATCAAAAAATTCATGGACAGTGCATATTATGAAAAAAGCCGGTATGGATTTCAAAGAAATTTTGCATCAAAATACTTCAATTTCATTTCTCATGAACTTTTTGAAGTATTCTCAGAAATGTAACTTCACAGCAAAAATTATTTCTAGCAAATTGAAATTTATTCCTAGATGTATTTCCTCTTAAAAGAGACAAGTTAGTAGTATGCTATTTGGCCCTTTTTATCATTTAACTTTGGAAAAATGAAACTTTTCTCATTTACAACTGGTTGATTACTTACTGCTTCCCTCTTTCTTCCAGGATTAATCTTAAGAATGCTTATTATCAACTTATTCTTTTTGATCCATTGAAAAATTTTACATTTTTTATGTAACTTTCCTTTACAGGTATTGAGCTAAAATATTTACTTTCCTCAAAACATCCAAATGTCAGAATGCATACAATTTTAGTAAATTAGGAGACTTCACTGTTGTGCATGTGTTCCCCTTTGGTTCATACAACTCATATGGCCTTTCTTTTTTTTTTTAATATTTCTTTCATTCATGTGGCCTCTTATTATATCCATCATTCCATTTTTCTTTCCTATTAGAGCGAAATTGGACACAGCCCTCCTCCTGCCTACACCCCCATGTCAGGAGTAAGTATTTCACAATCAACCTTCATCTTTTAGGACTTTTGGTCTTTGCTTACCATGTTTCCTCTCTCTTGTCTCCCCATAATTTCCTCATTTTTGCCTTTGCCAACAGTGAGTTTAGAATTTGCTGTAGATTGAGTAGCTGTCTTGGTAGATATGTTTTATCTCAATAGATAATCCACGTAGAGATATCATTTGTCAACAGTAGCTTTCAATTTTAATCTGAAAGACATACTAAGGCTTTTAATTATGCTACTAGGTGATGAGGTTATCTTTACTTCTATGGTTATAATAATTTGCTAAAGAGTGAATATCTCAGTGATTCCCTAGTTTTGTACTGGAGACTCAATGTCGTAATAACCACAGAATTCAAAGCAAAAAAGAAATATTACCATTTCAAATGTATCACTCTACTTCAGGGTACATGTCTACAATTAAGACACTACCATTTGTCTGGAAAATTCACTTTGAATTTTATATCAAGAAAAAGAAACTTGGGGAAAAAAAGCATCAAACCCTGTTTTATTAGATCATGTTTAATTGGTTAGTAAAATAAAATATATATTTCTAAGTTACTTTTCCATGATTTATCTTTTAAGAAAAATTAGAATCCTAGGTATTTCTAGTGTGTAACTCAAATTCATTAGCCACTAGGAAAAATAAATCAATATGTACTATGACCTTTTTCTGTGAAAAATAAGCTTTGATATTCTTTTCATTGTTAGCATTCACTTTTAAATAACTATTACTGACAAAAACTTTTCTTCAAATGTGTTTCAACTATTAACAGAACCAGTTCGTATACCGAGATGGGGGCTTTGCTGCAGAACAAGGAGTGTCCATGCCCTATAGAGCCACAACCAGCACAATCCCAGAAGCTCCAGTTGCTCAGGGTGCTACAGCTGAGATGTTTGATGACTCCTGCTGCAACGGTACCCTACGTAAACCAGTGGCACCTCATGTCCAAGAGGATAGCAGCACCCAGAGGTACAGCGCTGACCCCACCGTGTTTGCCCCAGAACGGAGCCCACGAGGAGAGCTGGATGAAGAGGGTTACATGACTCCTATGCGGGACAAACCTAAACAAGGTACAATCTGAATATTGAAAATGACATCTGTTCAACACTTACTTTCATCAAACCAGCAAAATATAGAATGAAAAGGCTGTGGCTACTGCTACTTCCAGTGTGGTCCCTGAATCAGCGGCATCCACATTGTCTAGATGCTGCTTAGAAATCAGAAGCTCAGGTCCTACTTGAATAGGAATCTGGAGTTTAATCACTAGGCCACTAGGCTGTTCCCAGATGTGTTTTCTTAATTTTTTTTAAATTTTTTTTACATAGATTCTCCCTTTTCCATATGTAAAAGCTTTTGGGGCTGGATCTCCATTCAAATCCAAACCAAATCATTGCATTCCCAGCACACCCGGTGGACTAAAAAATATTCTTCTTTTATTGTATTCATTCATCATGGCATGGAGTTATGCTGTAGGTCCTTGGGTTTTCCATTATACTTTATGAAATTCTGAGTTCTCACACTTTCACTGATTCAAGAATATAAAATTCTCTATTGAAAATGATGTATATGGCAATATCCTTGACTCAACTGTCAAAATTAATGAATAAATAAATAAAATGTCAAAAAAATTCTGATTTGTCAACTTTCAGGCTACTTTTAGAAAACAAAAGCATTTGGGGCCAGCAGGTGGCATGGTGGATAAGGTGCTGTACATTCCTACATGGCCGATCATGGTTCAAGTCCTGGACCTGGTAGCTTGCTTTCTCACTTTCTCTTTCTCTCTTTCTCTCTCTCTCATCAAATTAAAATGAATAAATGAATAAATAAAATTAAATAAGCAATTTTAAAAAAAAGAAAACAAAAGCATTTAAACAATGCCTTTAAATAAGTAGGACAACCAGATGCAATTACAAGGAAAGAACAATCCAGAGGTTGGAAATTTTGATATTGGCTTCATTGGAACCTTGTTTATTATTAACATTTTTGGTCTACTTAATCTTTTTCATATGGCAGTAGTAATCTACAAATAGTTTTTATGAGAATTGATGGATACACATCTGTGGCTTTATTGTTCTACACAAAGAAGCTAACTATTGTATATAACTTCAATTTGATTAACACTTTTCACAAACTAGTTGTCACCTGATATTTTTATATTTCTTCAGAATACCTGAATCCAGTGGAGGAAAACCCTTTTGTTTCTCGGAGAAAAAATGGAGACCTTCAAGCTTTGGATAATCCTGAATATCACAATGCTTCCAATGGTCCACCCAAGGCGGAGGATGAGTATGTGAATGAGCCACTATACCTCAATGCCTTTGCCAACACCTTGGGGAATGCTGAGTACCTAAAGAACAATGTACTCTCTGTGCCAGAGAAGGCCAAGAAAGCTTTTGACAACCCTGACTACTGGAACCACAGTCTGCCACCTCGGAGCACCCTTCAACACCCAGACTACCTGCAGGAGTACAGCACAAAATATTTTTATAAGCAGAATGGACGGATCCGGCCTATTGTGGCAGAGAATCCTGAATACCTCTCTGAGTTCTCACTAAAGCCAGGCACTGTGCTGCCTCCTCCACCCTACAGACACCGGAATACTGTGGTGTAAGCTCAGCTGTGGTTTTAAGATAGTGAGACAGGCCTGCTCCAATTTCCCCACCTCCTCTCTTTCTCTGGTGGTCTTCCTTCTAACTCCAAGGCCAGTAGTTCTGACACTTCCCAGTGGAAGATGTAGAGATGCAATGATAGTTATGTGCTTATCTAACTTGAATATTGGGAGGAAGGACTGAAAGAGAAAGATAGGAGGAACCAACCACACTGTTTCTTTATTTCTCTGCATGGTTTGGTCAGGAGAATGGAACAGCTAGAGAAAGGCCAGAATATATAAGGCAATACTGACTACTGTCAAACTAGTTCTCAACTCTTTTCTCCTTTTCTTCCTTCGTTTCTTCCTCCTTTATTCTTTTTCCTAAATACAGATGATTGAAGCACCTGTGCTATCTGTTCCTGTCTTCAGGAATGTATGTGCACATACTCAGCATCTCTGAAAATCATAATAAAGTTTCCATTAGAATGAAAGATAACCTTTTCTATAACATTTCACAGTAACAGAGATGAAAATTCAATTTCCTTCTTCCTTCAGTTGCTATCATAGCAAGCAGAATGGCCAACCCAGCTTTCATAATTTTAAAATCCCCATCAAAGTTATGTCAATTATATTTAGGAGGCTTTTTTTCCCTTCATTTTATTTTGCTTTGATCTGTTCCTTTATATTAGTCTTTCTCCTATTTTTGCCTATAATTTTGACTTGCTAAGATGTTTGACACTCCTTAACAAAATTTAAAGAAGAAATATTTTAATTTGGTGAAATGCCCACTATCTTAAATATACAATCTTTCAAATTTAATGGGGAAGCCAAGATAGCAGTCAAATGCAACATCAACTCTTGCTTCCATATTTCACACTACAGAATATATCATCCTCTCATCCCTTACATTCTCTAACATTTTTTTTTCTTCTTCACAAATGACAGTACTTGATAGGCAGTTGGTAACCTTTAGGAGAGAAACTAATAGATAATTCTGTGTGGTTCAAGAAAACTACTGACACTTTTGAGGGGGCGGCATGGAGGGAAATCCATTGAACTGGAAGAAATACACTGGATTGGGTATGTCTGCCTGGCGGATACTCAGAAATGTAGTTTGCACTTAAGCTATAATTTAATTTAATTTTATTTTGGAACTCCATTTTGAATTTTGAATGAAGCAATATGGAAACAACCAGCAAATTAACTAATTTAAGTACATTTTTAAAGTAAAAGCTAAGATAAAGACAAACTGTGGAAATGCCAAACCAAGCAAATTAGGACTTTGGAATGGTATCCAGGGATTCTGGTGAGAGGGCCAGCACATAATCTACATGTGATATCACATTTGCTACATAAGGATATTTGTTCATTTTTTATACTCCATATGAAGGAATGCAAGTAAGGATTGGCTTGAATTCCATGGAATTTCTAGAATGAGACTATTTATACTAAGTAGAAGGTAATTCTTTGCACATAAATTGGTATAATAAAAAGAAAAACACAAACATTCATGACTTATGGATAGGTCCTTGGGTCAAAAGTTGTAAATAAACATGAAAAATCTTCTTACACAATTATTTTATTATCCAGCAAACTAATATTTTGATACTTGATATAACTCTCTTTCTTCACATAATGCATTCTAGTTCTAAAACCACCTATTATGGCTTATCATTTTAAAAGAATATGTACTGAATTAAAATGAGTGATGGGAACAAATGGCAGGGATGAGTCTCCAGGAAAAGGGGGTCTCACATCATTAATTAGGGGTATTGGATATAAGTATTTCTTTTCTAGGAATTACTGTCCCAAGTCATTTAGATTTTTTTTTAATTCTTCTTTCTATTGTTAAATTATTAGGACCAAATTAGAGTCAATAGTCTAAAAATCTCCGCTGGTAAAGCAGAGAGAGTTTAGGAGAGAAAATCCAAGAAAATATGTTTCTTCCTACTTTGCAAAAGTAAATTCATCCATCCAAATCTCATTTATTTAACTGATAAGTTGTTTAGTGTCTACTGAAAACACTGTGTTATGTGAGGAATACCCAAATAAATGGATTGTAAAACCTGACTTCAAAATTTTAGAGTGTAAGAGATTTATTTAGAATGACATTTTAATTACTTCATGAGTTCAGGGAATAAGATTGCATGAACTATTCTGAAATCAGTTCTTTAGTAAAAGATCTCCTGTGAATTCATTTGGGACATAAATTAAGCATGCTTCAAGTTACTGAAGTTGACAAATAGGGTATTTTCAATGTTATCATCAAAATGCAGACTGGTTTAGGATAGTGCATCATTGGCCAATTTGTTTATCTGGAGTTTAAATTTACCAGTAAGGAGATGGTGATACTTGTCCAAGAACTTAAGAGACATTAGGGTTTGTCTCTTCTAATCTGGGAGAAGTGAGACAAGTTGAAAGAACGAGGCAGAATATCACAGAGGTTTGTGAGATTCCTTCTAGTGTAGTTAACCATAATCTTCCCAGATTTAAAAACAGAGTGATTCAGGAGCCTCAATAGGTCAGAGTTCTATCACTCATTCAAAAGAGTCTCCAGGAAAATAACTCACTTTGGAAAAATGGAATGTATGCTTTCCTTTCTAGATAAATCTATACCATGTCACCACTGCCAGCACACCTTTTGGATATGATAGTTTGACTTTCTCTCTTCTGATTCACAATATTTATATAGTTTTTACGGGGATATAGAAAGAAAAATTGCTTATTTTGGAGACTGAAAAAAATAAATTTTTAACTGTTATAGTAATAGAAATATATTTCATAAACATAATCTATTTCCTTCTAAGAACACAAAACTCTTACACATCAGTCAGTCTCCCACTAAGAACTGAAAATGGATGTAAGTATAATCTAAAATGACCCAAAGTACTTCACCACAGCAACACTCAGTCATTCCTTTGAATGATTCTGTAGTATATTCTTAATTTCAGTTGTTTTGGGAGTTCTATTTGTTTTATTTTTGTCCTCCTAGGAAAATATATTTGAGAGTGGATAGAGAGGGGAAAAAAAGTGTTATTTATTCCAAGGAATAACTTATTTAACCCAATACAATAAAATTTTTAAATGCCAGTTGAAGTCTGCAAAGTACTTTGGTGTATGAGATTGAAAAGGCCAGTTCCATCAGTGAAAATATACAGAATCAATTAAGTACATTTGAAAAAGTAGTATTAAGACTATACTGACCATATTTTTTAAGTAACCAAATTTATATCTTTGGGAATCCTATTTTTAGTTATGAAAAACTCTATAGCTGAATGGTTCTTTAAAGAAGTAGCTATTGAACATGTGAGAAAAGATGTCCTCTAAACAGCATAAATCCAGGATCATACGGTGTCTGCACCACAAGGAGGTGTTTAGACTCACAAGCAGCTCTTGGTTTTCTGAATTATACTAGAAGCACAGGATATGATGAGAGTCTTTTCTCCAGTAACGTACTTGAAGTAACATGAAAAAAAAATGCAAAACTCAAATTCTAATAAAATGTTCAAACAGAAAGTGCAAGATTCTTTTATTCATACATCAGGAAGAATGATAGAATAGCTATAACCTGGGAGAAGAAATAGTGTTCTTCTAAGCATTATGCTGTGTGGGTTAACACCTTCTAAATGAAGAACATAGCATGAAAACCATGCGTACTTTTAATGCTAGGGAAAAAATCAGTAAAGGACTATGAGACTCTGCTGCTAGATGAAGTTGGAAGGATTATCAATGTGCTTCTTACAGTGTCAAAAATGAAAAGAAAATTAAAATTGTTTAAGTCTGACAGGGAAGGATGTATATACATTTTGTTAGAGCTTTCTAACCTGTTTTCAAAACTTGAATTTTTCCTCCATTCATAATTGTTGATTATTTAACTAGTATATGTAGTTCATAAGGTAATAGAAAAGGTGATCATGAAAGCATGTATATAACGGGATGGAACCATGACTATGCTATAAGATGTAGATTTAGCTAGGTTATCAGATGTTAAATGATTTTAATATTATTAAATAAGTCATGTTAGAAAATAATGATGAAGTATAATGTAACAAAGATAAAATGCACAATATGAAAATGTAGGATGAATTTTGCATAGTGAAAAACATAAGTTTGCCATTTTAAATTGTTACTTGCTGGGTTTAGCTGAAAGTAGACATACGGTTCCATTTGTGAAAACTTTCTTTAAAGCTTTACAATGAAAAACTTTCTCCTTCCCTTATCCCTTCATCTCTTCTTACGTATATTAAGTGTAAAGGTATTTTTTATGATTTGTTTCACAAACACCTTGTAGAGTATAACAGGCAAAATATGATGCCTATGACTCAGTAAGACGTCTTCGAAATGAAGGAAAGGCAATGTAAATGTTCTATTACCTTATGCAGAGACAAAAATGTGAATGGTGTCATTTAGTAAACAAACAATACATTTAATCTGTGACATGTCCTTTTTTCCCCCCTTGATGCCCTCTTGTGTCCAAAAACAACAAGGCATTAGTTAATAATTTCCTGATAAATAAATGTTAAAACAGCATTTCAACCTACTGTATTGCTATTATTTTGGACTCTTGTTATTAGGCTGATGATTTGTTATGGGGCCAATGAGAATTCTAGGTGTATCAGCAAACCACTTGTAAAAAAGCCAGATAAATCGGCTTCTACCATATATATATATATTTGGAGAGAATCCTGCTATACCTCTTTGTATACAAGAACTTTAGTAGGTATCAGTTTGAAGGACAGCTTTGTATCCATGGGGATCTATGAAGGCAGACCGATGTCACCTGGTTGTTAACAAATATATTACATAGATGTAGATAAAATATAATTTAAAAAAAAACATTGTTAATGGAGACCTTATTATAACCAATATTACCATGGGGCCAGCTCTTACATTTCTGGTTAGAATTAACACAACTTTTCTTACCCCAGAGATGCCTTTGCAAGAGCAAGCCTCTCCATAGTCACAAACATAAAGTTGTTGGGATGGTGTGTTAGGCCTGCCACGCTTGTGTACGTATGGATGAATATTTTTAACACCATGGCCTGCTTTGTTATTTTTAATTAAAAGAAAAGTTTATTCAAAATAGTAGAAATCTCAGGCATGGTTCAAGTCTCGCTGATTTTGTAGAGGTATAATGTAGGATGTGTCACTTTTCTAGACCTCTGCCTCTTCTTATTCTTGGGCAGGTGATACTCTAGGCAGAAGAAAATGCTTCCACAGTTAAAAGCTGAAAAGAAAACCATAAGCCCCAATTTCATGGGAGTAGTCACAAGATTTCCCTGAAAAACACGCTTTGA